CCTCATCTACATCCCCACCCCCTAATCCAGGTACTTCGTGGAAGTTCTGCAGGTCGGAACCGAGTCACATTGTGGGGTGGCCTCCCACAACACAGGCCTGTGCGTCCCCACAATATCTTGTCCTATGAGGATGGCAGAAAACCCTGCCACCACCAGGGGTCACACCTCCGCTTTAGCTCCATCTGCATCCTGCCAAGTGAGCCATTCTCGAGTCTCCTCTGATGGGGTGTATTCTCCCACATCTAGGATTTGGTGTGGGACCGAATCCTTTCAGTCATGATGGGACCTCCTCCTTTCTAAGAATGGTCCTATCAGACCCCCATGTTCACCAGCCAGCGAAACCTCCTGCCACCTATTTCAAGATCCATCTTGGGCCTTACACCAGTGATAATAGGGACTGTCCAATTCACCATAGGTTTTTCTCTCTCTCCCATTCCCTCCCCGAGGGCATTGTAAATGTAGCCAATCATGTGGAAGTCCTCCTTTTGTCAACGGGGCTGGAGGCTGCCCCCCACTTAGTTTAAAGGCTTTCCTTTAATATCAAATCTGGATTTCTAATCCTTCTGCCAATGGAACCCTTTGCAACACTGGGGACAGGGCATAGGTGGGAATCTTTTTGACACCTCACCTCTAGGCTTAGGCCAGTTCTCTCACTGAGGGCAATTTCTTTTAATATGGCCAGTCTGGCCACAGCCAAAACATGGGCCTTCTATCCCTCTAGGCCCCATTGTTACCTGCTGACCCAGATTAAGTGAATTAAATGCCTGGGTTAAGGCATGGGTCAGAGCCTCTGTTCGCATCTGTAAGACAGCAGCCATGGCTTTGGTTTGCCCCCTCTGGGGTTCCACCTCCTTGGAGGCAATTCCATTATTCCATGGACCTGTCCTTAAGGACAGCATAGGCTATCTTGTGATCAGCATCCATTCCATCCCATACCAGGAGTTTAGTGAATTGCTCCTTCAATGGGCCTGGGGCTAATTTTCATTTTAAGTGCTTCTCCACTCTGTCTATAAACTCGTAGAGGGTTTCACCAGGCTTTTGATTAATTCCTGCAAGGGAGGATTCAGTAGGCCCCTCATCCAATTTTCTAGAAGTATTTAATCCTTTGACCCTGACCTGTTCTGTATATGGGGCTGGAATGCTGCACTGTTGCTCCCCTGTGGCATAATGGTCACTTGAACCAGTCAACATCCCAAAAGTAATGGGGACCAGTGGATTGGCACTTGCAGTCCTCTCAGGCTGTATCCTGCATTCCTCCATAAAGGGCACACCATTTAATATATATAGGGCTAGGAAGGACTGTTTTGGCAAGGTCCAGCCAATCCTTTATAGTACACTGCTGATGAGGGTGATCCTGGGCCATCCTCAGCCACTGACTTTTTTAATTCCTTTAAATCCTTTCCCTCCAAGGGATAACAGTGGTCAGGTCGCTCACCTCCTGCATTTACATTAATAGGATATGCTTCCACCTGTGGCCTCACAGAAGCCTCCTGAGCGGGGTCAGAATCCTGGAAATGGGGACAGTTTTCATGGGAATAAGGAAGCCCTGAAGCTTGCCAGGGTATGCTCGAGGTGCTGCTTGTTACTTTGGCTGCTTTTGGCTCCATTCATATTGCATTTCTGCATTCTTCCTCAAACCCTTCCCATGATTCCCGTGCTGGGGTTTCTGAAGGCTCATCAGGAGGTGGAGCCGAGGGCTTAGACTCTTGGGCCGAAAGCATACCTTTAAGGCTGAAATAATAAGGTAGAACCCCAGCGGCAGATCAACCCCCAAATGAACCTCCCTTTGTCGAGCTAGACATTCCACATGTTCCCACATATCCCCATAAAAACATTAGCCCCAAGTAGCCAGGGAGCCAAATGAATTGCCTCTGCCCAAACCTTTTGAGCTATGGGATCTGACAAATTCAATCCCCTGCTTTTAAGCATATCTCTCAGCACTTTAAGCTCTGGGTCTTGAAACCTAATATTTGCGTTACCCATATTTAGGGCCTTGCTTACCCTGAACCTCCTCGATTGGCCCCAATCCATTTTTTTCTTCTTTCTTACTTCTTTCTTTTCTTCTTTTCGCCTTCCTTCAAATGCCACTTTGAGTGCCAGTTGCCGGGGGTTCGAACCAGCCCCCCCAGGGAGGTGATGATTGGGGATGAGTAAGCATGCCATTCACCAGCCCATGCCACTCCCATTACCCAGGGACACTCAGACGCAACAGGGAATCTAGTCAAGCAGGGACTCATTTATTGCAGGTGTTACAAAGCTTATAAAGGCACCTGGAACTCCCCCCTCCCCTCCCCGAAGGTGTATCTTAAGGATGGTCAAGTGCTCATCTTGCACTCCTCAGCAGTGTGGAAGTATTCTTCAGACTTTCAAAGCAAGCAAGGTCGCACCCTCAGCAACTTCCTTTTGGAACTACGTAAGGTGGGGCCTTTAGGTCCCCACAACTACTGGGTGATGAAGAGCTGGCCTTCTTAAAGGGAGGGTCCGTAGATAGGCTGACTAGATCCCAATGGATGAACTTGCACTGAAGGACATCTGGTGACACTAACTTTACATGATAGTTGTTAACACAAATGACAGAATGTATGATCTCCAGTTGGGGTGGGGGTGGGGTTTGGGATGGGGCCAAAGAGGAAGAGGGTATAAAAATTATCTTCTGTATGAAATACACAAAAATTTAATACAAAAATGGTTTTAAATTTTTCATTTTCCAGCACTTGGGAGGCAGAGGCAGGCCGATCTCTGTGAGTTCGAGGCCAGCCTGGTCAACTGGGGCTACAGGGAGACCCTGTTTCAAAAAGACCAAAAAACCCTCATTTTTCTAGAAGTATGAGAAACACAGGTGTCTCTCTAGGATCTATGACCTCTCCAGCCATGTGTGTTTGATTATATTTAGAGTGTCACCCATGAGTTCCCTCCCACTCAGAAGACTTTTAAGTCCAATTAGATAGCTGAACAGAAGATTACCCTCAACATAAATGTGAAAGTACTATGTCTGTATAATTTGTTGTGCTGGTCATTGTTGTGGTTATTAGGCTTTGGAGCTGGGTTGGACCATAGATTGTTTTTCTCCTTAGCAGACTTCATAGTATTCTCTAAAAATATGGGAGCTAGTCTTCAGTCTAGAGGCTTGCACAGTAGTACCAGCTCCATTTTCAAGTCCTGTATCCAAAATATGCCCTGTCTTCAGCAATAGAGTCTTAACTTCAAGTTCTGGGAGATATTCAAGGTCTGTGACAATAGCCTGTGTTATTTTAGAAGTCTCTTTACTACCCTAACCAACAACTTGAATTGAGGTTTCTCCTGTCTGGCACTGTGTTTTTTCTTAAATAGATTTCAGGTATACACATGCACTCATGTTAAGATATGTATATTTTTCAGTCGGTTTTATAACTAATACATTTCCTTCTGTTTTTTTCACACCACCTTAAGCTTTATTATCTCTCTCCTTCTCTCTGTCTAACCTTCTCTCTGTCTTGCCTTCCCTGTTAAAGTACCCCCATTTTCCTTTTGAAAATATCTGTCTCGTATTAGCCCCACTCTTAGGTTCTTTCTTCCCTTTACCCCATCATTCTTGGTATATACTTCCTCCTCCCTTCCCAGCTGAATAGCCACATTTCCTCCATTTTCCCCTTGAGTAAATCCATTTCCTACTATCTCCATTTCTTGGGCTCTTTTTTTTCCTTTTCCTTTTCCCCTTTCCTTTCTATTCATAATGCCTTTCCAGTTTCTTGGCTCCTTGGTTACATAATGATATATACTCACATATAGAATATGGTGCTCAGATCTATAAATGGGAAAGAACATACATCACTTGTTTTTCTGAGTCTGTGCTACTTCATTCAGTGTAACATGTGGAGATGGGGGAGGGAGTTTGAATATCATCAAAATACAATGTTCTCAAAGAATCAATAAAAGTACTTTAAAAATTATTCACACTAATTATTGATACTTAGTTCATTATATTTAACTCAAAGTAATAGTAATCAGGAATACATCTAGGCCATTTTCATAGAGTAAAAGCTTCTGTTCCTAGAAATGATCCAAAACAACTTTTCTATTTTAAAGATCACTGATGTTTTAATCAAACATTTAGAAATATATCTGAAAGGAAATATTGCTGTCTAACACAGGTGTCAAACAGTAAAAGTGCTATCTAGAACTGTATTGAGAAGAGATGTATATATGTTTTTGAATGGTGTCTTGTGTGAAGTCCGTCACTGATCTCTGAAATCTGGGGACTGAACACACTTAGATAATGTGTGGCGCCTCCTGAGTATTAACACTCACCATCTGAGCTCTTTTTACCTAAAGATTCAAGAAGTTTTATGTGATGGTTTTCATGTTTCAGGAAAATTATATAAAATAAAGCTATTTTTATGAGATTTTGGCATTCTGAATTCTCTCACAATATCTAAAAACATTCTTGATAACACCATTAAGAAATATTATTTTGTATCATATAGAAACATAAGTTGTTTTACCAGAGAGGTGGTTCAGCAGGTAAAGATGCCTGCCAATGGCCTGATGACCTGAGTTCCATCTGCAGATTCCATAGGGTGGAAATAAAATAATCTAAAATTGTCCACTGACCTCCACATTAGAGCTTTGGCTTAGGGACAAACAGTGACAGAGAGAGAGAGAGAGAGAGAGAGAGAGAGAGAGAGAGAGAGAACAGAATTACTTGAAAGTTTAAAAGTGAATAAGCTATTTTAATATGAAAATTGAAAACATAACATGTGAGATCATCCTTAAGTTATTTTATGCCAACTGAGTTGAGCACTATGGGTTGCTTACAGTATATAGCATTGTATCTTGATTTTACTATTGAATTGCATCTTATTTATGTGAGACACCCAAAATCTACTCTAACTAGTTATGCCCAAAGAATAAGAACCAAAGATTCATACATAAGGGCCTAATCAAGAAATAGGCACTAACTGTAAGTGAAATTATTGTTCGACAGTGGAAATCCAAAGGAAATTTCTGATAGCTTAAGAACACTACATTTCCTTGGCTAAGCACAATGATGACTTTGCTCTTCCAGCAACCTTCTTGAATGCATTTTTGACTTCTTTGTTCCTCAGACTGTAGACAAGAAGGTTCAGCATGGGGATGACCATGGTGTAGAACACAGATGCAATTTTGTCGCTGTCCATGGAATGACTTGAGCTGGGCTGTAGGTACATGAAGATGATTGTCCCAAAGAAGATGCATATAGTGGTGAGGTGGGATGTGCAGTTGTAGAAGGCCTTCTTCCTTGCTTCAGCTGAATGCATCCTCAGGTTATCAATGAAAATAAGCAGGTAAGAGTTCAAAATGATGAACAGAGGGAAAAAGACATCAAATAGACCTAATGTAAATAGTAGGATCTTGTTTATGTAAATATCAGAACAAGAGAGAGCTAGCAGGGGGGGAATGTCACAGAAAAAGTGATTAATCACATTGGAATGACAGAAGGAGAGGTGGAAAGTGAAGGCAACATGGACTGAAGATTCCAAAAGTCCACACATATAGGAGCAAGTGACAATTAGGACACAAGTGGTATGTGTCATGGTGGTGGTGTAATGTAGGGGTTTACACACTGCTGCATGCTGGTCAAAGGCCATTGAAGCCAGAATGAAACTTTCAATAGTAGCAAAGGCCACAAAGAAGAACATCTGGGCAGCACAGGTATTGTAGGATATGATCTTATTTCCTGTGAGGAACCCTTCCATTACTTTAGGATTGACAGCTGAGGCATAGACACAGTCTGACAGAGAGAGATTACTGAGGAAAAAGTACATGGGAGTGTGGAGTTGTGAGTCCAGCAGAATCAAGATGATCATCCAAAGGTTCCCAACCAGCGTGATCAAATAAACAAGAGTGAAGACTATGAATAAAGGAACTTGCAGCTCAATTGTATCTGTTATCCCCACAAGAACAAATTCAGTTACTTCTGAAATATTCTCCATCAATGTCATTTGGAAATGATCATGACATGTACCTAGGACAAGATGAGATAGAGAGCATTATACTGGTTGAACCTACCATGTGGTATGAAGTATGAACAAGTTTTTGTTCCTGTGCTGCCTCTTTCTGTCCTGTGCATAGGGTATATTGAAGATGCTGTGCTAAATGTCAGTTTTATTTATATGGAAGTGGTAGAGATGGACCCTGGGAGTTATTTGGTCAGAGTGGCTGCCATAGGTGGTTCACAGTATAGATGTGAGGTTCAATTCCATATGCATGGTATAAGATATTTTATACTACACTAAACCACAATATTCATTATTACTATCAGCAATATCTACTAGTATTCCTGTATAATATATACACTGAAATCCTAATCAATGGAAAACTCTCCGAGGATCATGCGGTCATGTTTTTATTTTTTTCTGACAAACTGGCAATACATTTTCCATCTCTTGTATATCCCTTACCACCTGGATGATATCCAAAGAGCTGGGACTCTGCTCTAGGGATCATGTCTGTTTCTCTGGTTTATGAAAGCCCATAGTTAGATCCTTGCTTTTAACTATTGGCACCTATAAGAAACAATTTTCCCCTCTGGGTAAAATTCATAGTGAAGTCTTGTGTATTTCAGAATGCCATAAATAATGGGCAGTTTTCAAAATGCAGAAGCAAAGCTTTAGCGGCTTCCTCTTCATGTCACAATCTTCTTTGTCACATAGACTGATGTTTCCATTCCCACCCTTCACTTCATTTGTGTTTGTAGAGAGAAGGGAGGAGAAATGAAAGAGTTGCTCTTGTCCTTTCCTGTAGGCTTTCAGCTCTCCACCAAGCCATATTTCAAAGATCACCTGGTTGTACTCACCTCCACAGTGACTCAGGTGACAGACAACTCTGCTACTCTGGTTACAATAGAGAGGCTATCCTCACCCAATAGACCCTTCTGATTGAATGTTTGGTCATACTATTTTCTCTGCAGTAAACATCCTCCATGCTTAAGACATGAATGTGAAAGGCTATCCAATCTGAACATAATTTGTTTCTTATCACAGGTCTTCCTATGGGTTTCCTTTGAGTAGAACTTTCACCCTGGTCATTTTTAAGAGGTATTTCATCAACCTCAATGTGGAAAAACGAGTGCTACAGAACAGCATAGCAGAGTGGGAAGAGAAGAGAATCAAGAGCAAGGAGATAGCTAGATGCAGTGTGTCTGTAGTACACATGTTCAACCTTTCTGGGTATTAGATGCTTATTTTCTATTTATAAAATTTTAAAAGATGGTTGGAAATTTTATCCCTTCTTAGAATTTTAACTGGCTATGGCTGCATATTTAAAAAAAAATACTCACTATTGCCCTAGGAACAGACCACAGAGGACGTAGTGCTACAGAAGACTGCATAATGAAAACCCTCATGTCCAGAACATGGGCCCCAAAGATTCTCCTTTCCCATCTACGAAGCTCTGCTGTGGAACAGGACCTTGGCTTATGCTTTTGACAGTATCAACACAGAAATGAAAGCTTTTTACAGATCTCATGGGGGGCAGCACATAAATATGGATATCTTTGGAGACTTGTAATCCCCCATTGGCTCTTCAGCTGGTTCTTGATTCAACTTCACAGGAAAGTGTTTACATTTAGATGGAGAGTGCTTATGAGGGCACAGGGGACTAGAAGCTAGAAGCAAAGTTTCCAATTATCACATCATCTAGGCCACAGCTGAGTTACGTGATAATTTTTTTTTTTTTTTTTTGGAAAATCTTCTTGAACTTATTTATTATGTTTGGGATACCGATATTTAATGGATGTATGGTACAGCTGTCCTAATACAGCATGAGGCAAGGATACTAGGATGGACTCTGAGTCCTGCCATCATCTATGTACTTAGAAAAGCTACGAGCTCTTTCCACATTCCCATCACTCATCTGTGTTCTCCTTTCACTCCCACAGTGCCAGAGTCCTTCTTTCTTGTTTATTACTTGAAACAATTATTATTTGAATCAACATACATGTACCATAACCAGAAACCTTAGATACTCACACAAACTAATTAAAAACCTGTGTTCAAACAAAAATCTTTTGGCAAATATTTAGATAATTCTTACTCAAAACTGTCAAGCACTAAAGTCCATATTAATGCTTTTCAATGTGAAATGGGACAAAAAATTATAATAAACATACTAGAATACTCTTTTTTGAAGCAAAGATTCCACTACTGGCAAATTGAGAAATACTGACGGATCTTATTCCATGTGGTCACCCCTAAACTCATGTATATAAGATCACAACTAAATGGAGTCAGTGTATTATATATATGTATATTTATGAGTGTATATAGTTATAATAATGATAAAGAAGAGGACCAGTAATTGAGAGTGAGTGTAGGGCATGGGAAGAGTTGGAAGGAGGAGTATGAGGGTTAGAAATGATGCAAACACAGTACTTGTGAACGAAGGAAATTCTCAAAAAATAAAGAAATGGTCAAATATATTACAGTAAATGAAAGATGTCAAAGACTGCATGTAGTCTTAGATTACAAAGATATTCTTGAAACTTCAAAATTACTTGGCTAAAAAGGAGTTGAATGTCAAATATAAATGAAAACATAAGGGAGCCTGAGGGAGAGAGTATGGGCGTGCGCTCTCTCTGGGCGCTCGGGGTCCCTTGCGTGCACTCCCGGGATGGCACAGCAGGTCCGCAGGTGTGCGCGTGCTCTCTGGGCACATTCCCGGGGATGGCACTCCCCTGCCGTGCGTCTGGAGGAAAGCTGGTCTGGTCCCACGGGCTTCTCCATGTCTCTGTGGGCCTCAGGCATGGTGTGCGTGGATATCTCGGGGTCGCTCTGGGCCCCTGGATCTCGGGGCCCCTGCCACACCTGGCTAGTCGCTGGCGGGTCTGGCCTCAGGCGTCTCTGGCCGTGGCTCTCTTGGGGCGGCGGGTGCCCTGCAGGCTTTTCCCAGCTGCTCGGGTCCATGTCTCTGGAGCTTCTCTGCTGCAGAAGCGTTGTTCTGCCGAATCCTGTCCCTAATCCACCTGTGTACTCTTCCTCAGGATGTGAGGTCCACTGGCCACTTGGGCCTCGCGGGAAGAAGTATGGGGACAGAGAAAGCTAGAATGTCCATAAGCCAGTCACGAGGGAGTGCGCCCCCAGGAGAGATTGGGCCGCAGGTAGTGACACAAGACTCAACACTTAGTCTGTGTTACAGCTTTATTCCCTGAGACCCTGTTCTCTGTGTCCCAGCTTTCTGTGACCCAGTTCTCTCTAGCCCAAATCTCTGACTAAGGCATTTATACCATGGGGGTAGTGGTAAAAGCTTTGGCTGTTAGATGCTTTGTGAGGCATTGTATTTACATATGGAAGTGGGTTTCTGCCAGACTGCTGTCTGCTAGGAAAAATTACAGGAAGGCATGGTACCTGTTAGAGCCAAAGGCCATGTTTATGTTATGGCATTTGTGGCAGACACTTCAAAAGGAGAGACAGGAAAGATGCCAGGAAGACACAAGACACCCCAAGGAGCCCACAGCACATAATCCTGAGCTGCATGAGCTGTCCGGTGTGAAGGGGCTTCGACTTTGCATAACAGAGGCTCCCAACAAGAGAGGAGACCAAAAGGGGATGTAAAGAAGAAGAGGGAAGAAGAGTTGGGTAAGGGGGGTGTTGCTGGCAAGATGTGTGATATGAAATCACGTGACACTAGCCTTTCATCCCAGCACTTGGGATGCAGAGGCAGGCAGATCTCTCTGAGACTGAGGCCAGCCTGGGTTGGTCTACATAGTGACTTCCAGGTCAGCTGGGACTACATAGTAAATCCTTGTTTCAAAGAACCAAAAAAGAAAAAAAATGCATGATATGGTTCTATGTCTAATTTATTATCATTTTACAATAGAGGCTTCAGCATCTCAATATTAGTAACATTTAGCTTGGATACACAGAGATTTTTCATGCTGGTACTTGTGGAGAAGTGTAGCATAACACAGATATCCACATCTGTATTTATGGTGATATTTCTCAAGTTGGAACAATTTCTAATAATTATTATTTTAAGTAATATATTTATTCTATGAAAATTTCATACATGTACACATGCATCTTGATCATATCCACACCCCACACCTCCTGTTAAATTCCCCTTTTGTCTAACACAGCTCCCTCTCATCTCCCTTTTAACTTCATGTCTTCTTTTATTTTCATAACTCATTGAGTTCAATTACACACATGGGTGTAGTGCCATCTGCTGTGGTGTGGGAAACTTACCAGTGGCCACAACCCCAGAGAAGAGTGGCTCTCCTTCCCTCCTCAATCATCAATGACCAGTATATCCTCTGCTAGATCTGGGCCTCTGTAGCCCCTCTCCCATCTATGTTGAAAATTTTACTTGCTTTTTCTTGTGCAGGTCTTCACAGGTAAGTATAGCTGATATGAGTTCATGTGTGCAGCAGCCATGTCAGGCCCAAAAGACAGCTTATCAGAGCATTCCTCCCCATCCTCTGGCTCTTACATTCTTTCCACCCCTGGTCTAAGATGACTCCTGAGCCTTGAATAGGAGAGTTGGTGCAGATGTCTCATCTACAGGTCACTCGCAGTCTTTTTTGTCCAGTTGTGAGTCTCGGCATCAACCACTACCCACTGCACAAAAAGTTTCTTCAACTAAGGTTGAGAGCTACACAAATTGATACGTATAAATGTAAATATTTAGAAGGCAGTTTGATAACATAACCATTTAACAAAAAAACAGTACTTTCCCCCTTAGGGCATATAACTTCCCTGGCCGTGGGTTTTTGACAAGGTTTATAGTACCAGGCAAGAAATACCTCTTACGGAGCAAGCCCCACATCCAAGTAGAAAGTGGTTGGTTGCTTCCATAGCCTTCATGCCACTATTGCACCTGTGAGCACATCTTTCCTGGCAGGTTGGCAATGTGGTATGTAGAGCTGAGTTTGAGTAGTTCTTTTGCATATCTTTTCTCCCTCTGCAGCTTGAATAACATCTTCCGCCACCAATTTTAGAATTATTTCAGATTCATGAAAAACAGATTACTGCCATAATATCTCATGGCAGGCCCAATGATGGCTTCACCAAAAGGTCTACATGTTGTATTTAAACCTTACACCAATTCTCTATGTGGCCCAAAGGACTATTGAGTTACAATGCTTGTTTTTTAAAAGAATAACAAATTACCAAGATTATACATGTATGTTCTAAAGACTATCCATGAATCCTTATAAATTACAGTTAGCAAAGTTTAACCACAAACAAGAGAGGAGTTGACAATGAGACTACAGAAACCACATGGAAATGATGTGCCCCATTGCCATGGAATGTCAGCAGCCACTGGAGAAGGAAAGAGGCAAGAAGGGCAGTTCCCCAAGAGCAGAGGAAGACACAGCTTTGATAACAAAGCCAGGTTCCCCTAGAGTCGAAGGGCAGACCCAGCTCTGATGATGTGGATTTCAGTGCAGTGACATTGAGGTTTTGCACTTCTGGCATCCAGACATGGAAAAGTTAAAAAAAATGTAAGCTTTTAAGTTTACAGTAATTTGCTAGAGCAGTCACAGAAAACTAACAAATGCTCACTGATATCTTCTTTTCATAACCTTACATAAATATTGTATGTAAGTGTCAGGGAATTTTCAAGTGAGGTCATCTGTTCCTATCCTTTCCTTTGTGGGATAAGTATTTGTTATGAATTTTGTCTCTATATTTCTTAGTTGATGTTCAAATTCTCTCTATCTCTGAAGCCAGTTTGAGTAGTATGAGCATTCACTGGAGTGGATATTTTCCAAGTCTTGCCCATTGTACTGTTGCACATTTATTCACAGTAATCTGTTAAAGTCATCCTTATATGGACATTCTAACAATGACAACACCACTTGTTTAGAAGCAGTTTACTTGTTATCAGGACAGTGAGCTGTGGAAATTATCAAGAAGAAACTCATATAAATTTGTTTAGGTGATTTTAACAGTGTTAACTTACCATACTTTAGATAAAATTCCCTATGTACTTAAAAGTGAGGGCATTGCTATATGCAAATTATGCATCAATTAGAAAACAGGAAAAATAATACTAAAATATTTGTGCACAATAAAAATAACCAGCTGAATCCCCATAGAGAGTTCAATTACTTCAACCCTGTAGGATCAGGAGAGTCTCACAGGATGACTCCTCAGAGATCTCAAGGTCTATGATTCTCTGAAGATCTCCATATGCCAACCTCTGTAATCCTCCTGTACCTTAAGATGATGTCATTTAGGGGAACTACACTATTGGTCATTATTTATTCATCTGAATGATAATCACTATTAGCACCTTCTTGGCCTGAGGATTTGCTAAGAACCTTCAGCCAGGATCCAGGAAACACTCAAAGATAAAAACATTCCATTGATCAACTTTTAAATGATAGCCTCTTAATGGAAGTTCTGCAAAACTGTGTTGTTTATTCACAAGCAAATTTGTCAAGGACATGAGAGATTATCTTATTATGTTTATGATACAAGTAAGGAAAAAGTCAGGGTCTCTTTCAGGGAAACTAAGGATTAATGGAGATTTGGACCTTTATCCATGCAACTGCTCTTTCCATCCTCTTTCCCTGCTTTCCAGGACACCTGGACTTGTAGGCTTCTGACCTCTGCCTGAGAGGGAACCTCTTGAACCACCTTCTTCAATATTCCAAGGTTGAGTTGGACATTTCAGAATGTTATTATGAACTGAACAGTCATTTTTTTCCTCTCTTGGGAAACTGGTAAGTGTCTATAGTCCATAAAATCTTAATGAGAAGTACAGTTCATGCAAACACAACACAACAGCTGCATTCATTGTGAGTGATTCTAAGAGAAAGATTTTAGCATGTTTTCAAAATCTTGGATATACTGAAAACTTTTAGCCTAAGCTTTTATCTTTAACTTATATCAGACATTCTCATAAATAACATCATGTTTATTTCTTCAAAACTCTGAAGAAAAATTAGACACGTGATGTCCTGGCTGATTAGGTGAAAATTTTATGTTAACAGTGTATTTGTTTCTCACTGCTGGCAAAGCAAAAAGCAAACATAACAATCATCCCAGAAAGTAAATAAGCCCTTTTTCAAATGCCTGGAATCCTGAAAAACTTAACAAGTTCTGGACCACACTTTTACATTTTCCTCACAATCTCATGCTATTTATCACTAGCACATCTAACCATATCAGTAGTGATATTTATAGAAAAAAAACAGACTTTCAATTAGTTTGAAGGTGACCCTTAACTTAAATCCTGAAACATTTTTTAACCTAGATGTAAGATTTTAGAGTATCACTTCTCATACTGTTAGTTTTCTAATGATGAAGAATAAACCTACTTGCCATGAATGCACACACACATACCCACAGACACACAAACACACACACACACACACACACACACACACACACACACACACACACACACACACACACACACACACACACACACACACACACACAACACACATACATACACACACATACAGAGACATTTATATATAAAGTCTTTATCACTGGTGATAGAGCAGAACACATGATAAATGTGATCATAAGTTTGCTAAAGGTAAAAAATAAATGTTTCAAAGCAGTTTTATAAACTGTTTTTATGGGAAAACAAAGGAGAGCATAGCTGTAAAAATTGAGTAAAAAAACTTCCAAAGATTCAGTTACAACAAAGAAAATTATCATAACGTTACTACATTAGAAGAGACTCAAATAAAATCATCTGTAGCAAGGAGCTTGCCAACAGAACAGATCCTCAAGCTAAGGACATCCTACATACTGGGAACACTGACCTTCTAGACTCTGTGGCTTGGCTAAGGTATGGCCTGAATGAGGAGGAGGATAATAAAGTAGAATGCTTTTATTTACTAAAAGTAAAACACAAATTTCTAGAAAGATATTTTCAAAAGAAATGTCTTATCTAGAACCACCCAACCAACAGTCACAGACTTGGGGTGAGGATGGACACAGGAAGCATAGAAAATATCAGTGCCTCTAGTATACAACAAGGTTTGAAGAAATTCTATTTACGACAACAGAACTTCATCTAAAATTGAAGTCTGCTTGTCAGCATCCACTTTGTTTAAGCCATATACAAAACATTATCTCAACACAAGCAAAACACAACAGACAGTACTTACCCAGCTATGTTTATCACCTGGTGCTTATTGCCTTTTATAAATCATTTAATTTTGACAACATCTCTAAGCAAGTCTAATTTTTGTGTTAATTTGCAGATGGAGATAAGATGCCCAGGAAATTAGGTCAGTAACAGTGACTCTTAGGTAGTAAAAAGAAGCTGTCATATGAACGACTTTCAGAAATGTGAGCTCTATTTATACTTCATCTGATGACAAGATCTTCAGTCAGAATCTCTGTGGGGTTGAACATTCTCTCCACCCCAGTTATCCCACCACATCTACTGTGAACAGAGATGTAATGGAATGAGTCCAGAGTTCAACACATCTGTATCCCACTTGAAAGTTTGTGCTCTTAACCACAACATTGTCAAATTGTCCTGATGAAAGGAAACATCAGGTGAGATGAGAGGGGACTGGGGTGTTGTTAGAATGCATCTCAGAGCTTGTCCATTCATTCAGAACATTTATGTAAATTTTGTTCTTGTGAGTTTGTTTTCTTCTTGTTCCTCTAATGAAAAGCAAATACATAATGGACAAGATAAAATAACATCTGAACAATCACTCAGCTTATCATGAAACTTTGAAGACTTAGACTGAACCAAAGTGGAAATCATAACTTTCAAGTTTACATTAGGTCCAATGAATTTATGCTAGAGCATTAGATTTAGGAATAAATCAGAATGAGTTAGACATTGACTCGAATCTTGGACAGAGATTGATAAATTGCATTTCTGTGAATATGGATTAATGACTCAAACTCTGGTGCTTCATACATTATATGAATGGAACAAGCAATTCAACACAATGTACTGTGAAAAGGAATCAATGAGCACATCATAAAGTCCTGCTGGTAATTCTCGTCAGGTAAGAAACATGGAAATGTTGTTTTCTACTCAAGAGATGTGAGTTAGCAAATGGATTCACATCTTAGCTACCAACGTATGAATTTGAAATGTAGGTAGAAAATTAGGATTTCAAAGATTAAATAGTATGTAGCCTGGTGTGTAGTTACCAAATTTACTTCCAAGGTCATGCTTTTCTGGATAGTATCAATCTATTTGTTGCTAATATGAAACAAATACACATTGTATTTGTACTTTCAAATTTCTATTCAACTTCATGAATTTTTTGTTGTTGCTGTTGCTTTTGATGCATTAGCACAGAGCATCTAGTGACTTTCAGATATCCCTGATGGAGAACAGGACAGAAGTGACACAGTTCATTCTGTTGGGACTCACCAACGACTCAGGCCTGCAGGTTTCCCTCTTTATCACCTTCCTCCTTATTTACACCATCACCTTGGTTGGGAACCTGGGGATGATCCTGCTGATTCTCTTGGACTCTCGGCTCCACACTCCCATGTACGTTTTCTTAGGTAACCTGTCTCTGGTGGATTTCTGTTACTCTTCGGCTGTCACTCCAAAAGTTATAGCTGGACTCCTAAGAGGAGACAAGGTTATGTCCTACAATGATTGTGCTGCTCAGATGTTCTTTGTTACAGGACTTGCTACTGTGGAAAATTACCTTTTGGCCTCAATGGCCTATGATCGATATGAAGCAGTGTGTAAACCCCTGTACTATACCACCACCATGACGACAAGAATGTGTGCAGGGCTGGCCATAAGCTGTTATGCCTGTGGTTTCCTGAATGCCTCCATCTATACTGCAGACACATTCAGTCTCTTCTTCTGTAAATCCAACATAGTTCATCACTTTTTCTGTGACATACCAGCAGTCATGGTTCTCTCTTGCTCTGATAGATGTGTTAACGAGTTGGTTCTTGTTTGTGTAGCCAGTTTCAATATCTTTTTTGCTCTTATAGTAATCTTAATATCCTATCTATTGATTTTTATCACAATTCTAAAGATACATTCAGCTGCAGGACATAGGAAGGCTATTTCCACCTGTGCCTCCCACTTCATTGCTGTTTTAATTTTCTATGGGACTGTCATCTTCATGTACATGCAGCCCAGCTCCAGTCACTCCATGGACACTGATAAAATTGTATCTGTATTCTACACAATGGTCATCCCCATGCTGAACCCCCTGGTCTACAGCCTGAGGAACAAGGAGGTCAAGAATTCATTCACAAAGATTGTTTTCAGGGTAAAATAGCCTTTACAATTCTGATTTTATAGTTTCAGGGTCCACAATATCTGGATTCATTCCTTTCAGATCTTTTGTATTGACTTCATTATATTTATGTGTTTTGCATTTATTTTTATTTACTTATTATTTATTTGTGTGTGTGTATTGTGTGTGTGTGTGTGCCACTTCACACATGTATAAATCAGAGGACAAGTTGAGAAAGTACGTTCTCTCTTTCTACCATATGGATTACAGAAACTTGGCAGCAAACACCTTTATACATAGAATCATCTTGCCAACTTTGAATCGTACTTTAAAGTCCACATTGAAGTCAGTTTTCTGTGTGATACCAATCCCCTATTACATGTGTAGCTCAGGAAAACAAATGTTCAGAATCATATCTGAATGATAATGTTCATGGTCTGGGGTTTTCTTACCCAAATCCAATTGGTAATGTGGATGTATTAACTTATCCTTCAGCAATTTATTTCTACTTTATGTGAATGAAAATGTATGAAAAACATAAGCACGACGATGCCTGTGGACAGAAGTCCATGATTGTGTCTTCTTGAAGACACACTGTCAGAAGTGTGGCCAATTTCTTAGGATGAAATGCGTTGTGGCTTTATGTGCTAGCTAATTTTATGGTTAATTTTTGCTGGATTAAGTAGTTCTTTGGCTAATAAAGTGTATTTTTGTCAAGCATGGTAATGCACCTATGGAATCCTAGCACTGAGGATGCTGATGTGTATGGATTAGGGATTTGAGGCTGATTTAAGTTGCATAACAAGACCCCATCGAAACAGAAAAACAAGACAAAAGAAAACAGCTCTAAAACAACAAAAATAAAAGTTTCAAGCCTATGGCTGTCTGAGAATTATAATGATGTTTATGAAATTAAGTACTATTTGAAGCAGTAGGCTTAGTAAAGATCTTTTTTCATCAAGGTGAGGGCCCATCATCTAACTCACTGAGGATTCACCTAGATAGAATGAGGTGAAATAATTCTCTCTCTCTCTCTCTCTCTCTCTCTCTCTCTCTCTCTCTTTCTCTCAACACCAATTTTCTCTTGTTTCTGGATATCAGAGCCCACTGGCTCTCAAACCCTTTCACTCTGAGATACACTAGTCACACCTCACCCTCCTCTTTGAACTATGAAGTAAACAATCACCCTTCTTGATTTTCCAGCCTTCACATAATACATAACATGTCTTCTTGACTTCTATAATCCCATAAACTGATGGGAAAAAATTCACATAAATCTATACGTGTGTTTTGTCACTAAATGACTGTGGTGTGTTCAGCCATAAACAGAACATCTATGATACTCTTTTACCCAAATATTAGAGAATAGTGTGCAAGAGAGGGGCAGAAAGATTGTAAGAGCCTGAGGATGGAGAGGATTTCTATGAAACAGTGTATTCTGGACATGACAGAGCTGATGCACACATGAACTCACCTGCACAAGACCTGTACAAGGGTGTATCACTCAACAGTTCATCATGGAAGGGGAAGGATTTGTGAGGCCTCCATCCCTCCATGAGAGACTATTGAGAATTAAGCAAGGCTAGGGGGAAAGGGTGTCCCTTTCTTCAGCAGTGTAACCACTGGTTAGTTGCTCATGCTCCAGTAAATATTCTCCCTCCAATGTTCATGCAGGAAACTCTATGTAACCTCAGTAGGTCACACAGGGAAAAGACATGAAAGTAGGAAGTAGATTTGCTGGAAAGGTGAAGATTTTCAGTGGGAGAAGAAGCGGGCATGAGTCAGGGTAACAGAAAGTGAGAGGGAATAGAAAAAAATTCATTAAGTGCATGTGAAACTCAAAGAATAATAAATAAATTTTAAAAGAAATATCACTTAATATTTAATTTGAGAACTAAATACTGATGTATGCCTAGGGTTATATATTTCTTTAACCTCTTCAGTCTTTCCCTCCACCGCAATTTGACAGATTTCCTTGGGGTTTCCCTGAAATTTCACCCACGTTCTTCATGCCTCTGCTTTCTACCCGCTTCTCACAAGGAAAGTTATGTCATTCAGATTTGGCTGAAATGTTACTTTCATGGAGCCCCTCTCTGGCCATGTTTATTAACTAGTCCTTCTACACTCATGTTGTAAACTGTCCCCTCCCAGTAAACTATCTCCTCTATCATCCCCTTATAACCCTTACTGTGCCTTTGCTTCCTAGTTCCTTCTTCATTTTTCCCCACTAGACTATAAGCTGGCCAGGAACAGTGACTTTAATTCTTGTTTAATCAAGGTCACTAGTCCCTGATTAGATGTCTGAGTCATAATAGATTCCAAATAAATATTTAAATGAGTGCACATAATTATTAAGCTTATCAGTGAATATTTTTAAATGATGGAGTATAATTATGAAGCTTTGGGTACCATGGCGGCATGTGAACTTATCATCATAAATCTTGGATGAGATATGCATTCTAAGTAAAACAGGGAGGACATTTTCAGAAGCATAAATAATTTATGCTTTGTTTTTGTTGAGGTATTATTTTTCTTTTTTTCACTTATTTCTTGGACTTTTCACTTTTATTTTAATTTTTAAATTTTTAATTATTACATTATTTTATGCGTGTGTTTCAGGCATATATGTGTAAGTGCACTGCTGTCATGCAATGACCAAAGAGGTCAGAAGAGGGCATTTGATTCCCTGGAGCTGGAATTAGAGACAGTTGTCAGCCACTGTGTGGGTACTGGGAATTGAACATGGATCCTCTGCAAGAGCAGCCAGTGTTTTTAACAGCTAAGTCATCTCTCCAGCCCACACATCACTTTTAGACAAAATAATGTCCTGGTAATCCTACCATGGAATAGTTTATGACATATATTTTTGTAATTTTTACTGAGAATTAATGTCTCAGTAAATGGCAAGTGACATACTCAATTTAACAAATAATATGAGACTAAAAATGAGATTAATGTAATGCAGAGTTAAAAAAAATACCATGAGCACAAAGCATACGACTAATGGAAACTGTTTTAAATGTCCCATGCTTAGTACCAGGTTCATATCCATTTGCCAGAACAAATTAATTTGCCCCAAAGGATGGCAAGGGAAATCCTAGGAGCCTGTACCAAAAGTCAAATGCAGGAACTAAATACTTTAAGCAGCACTATTAATGACTATGACTCATTGGGTTTTCTGGATCATATGACCCAAGTAGCAAAGAAACTTTACAGCATCCTGGTGTTACCTCATGATCATCTCTTCTTATGGCCTCACTCACATTAGCAGCATCTCAGTTCACTCGGTGAGTAAGCCAGAGGAACACAGGCAAAGGAAGATGTGAATACATATGACATCCAAAGAAAGCCAGTGTGTAATGAATAAAGTCACTTATTTGTAGAAATACTGTCAGATGTAGCAATATATTGTGTCCTTAGAATGGGCGTCTCACCATTATCCATAGCAACTGTAATAAAAACTTCACTGCGGTAGAAAGACCCTGAAGTTCAATTCGCTTTCTACTCTGTCACATGAAATATATTAAATCATTAGAGCATTTGATAATTCTTGATCACTACATCCAATCAACACATCCTTGTCAAGGTAATGGGACTAAAAGAACAATAAGAGCCAATGGGATTGAAGAATCAATAAAAAGTATCCCATCAAAGGAAGGCCTCAGATTAGATAACTTCACTGATGAATATAACAAATATTTAAAATACTAAAACTAATTTTCCTTGTCATTAAAAAATGTAGATGAGGAAAGATTTCTTCACAATAAATTCTATGAAACTAGTCTTGCCTTTATAGCAAAGCAAGATTAGAGCATGTGATGGCTAGTTTTGTCAACTTAATGGAATCTAGAATCACCAGGAAGGGAATCTCAATGAAGGATTGTCTAGATTAGGATGGCCTGTGGACATGTCTGTTAGGGATTATCTATTTTAAAAATATTTTAGTTATTATTTTTATTTTTAATATATTTTATTACACTACAGCTTAGTCCTCTTTATACCCCCTTCCCCATTGGCACCTCCCCTATACTCCACCCCCAGATTTCATGCATTCTGTCATTTATGTTAAGGCCTATCGAGTCAAGTTAGTGTCCACTCCTGTACCTTAGCACAAGTTCATCCACTGGGGTTTAGTCAGCCTGTCTAGAGTTACTGGCTTAAAGAAAATCAACTTTCCCTCACTCAGCAGTAATCAGCTGCCCAGTAATTCTTTGGCTAAATTTGGGGCTTACTGCCCATTTTCACAGTTCAATACTAGGTTTCTGTCTGCTTGAGTTTCCATGGGTCTTGTGCATGCTGTCACCATTGCTGTAAGTTCATATGAACAAGGTTTTTATGTTTATTTTAAGTGCATCTGTGTATTGCCTGAATGTGTGTCAGTGCACCTGTGTCATGCAATGCCATCAGTGGTCAGAAGGGGGCATCAGATCCCGTGGAACTAGAGTTATGCACAGTTCTTAGCCTCCATGTGCTTGGAATCAAACCTGCATCCTCTGAAAGAGCAGCCAGTACTCTTAACAGCTGAGCCATCTATCCAGCCCCTATGGGGGATTATCTTGATTAGTGGGAAGGCCCACCACAGTGGGTAGCACCATTCTCTGAGCAGGGGTCATGGATTGCATATGAGCAGGAGAGTGTGCTGAGCACTGACATCATGCATGAATTCATTGCTTTCTGTTCTTGACACTGGGTGCAATGTAACTAGTCCCTTCATGTTCTTGAGTTGAATTTCCTATAATGATACACAGTAACCTGTATTTCTGAGCTAAGTAAACCATTTCTCCTTTAACTTGTTTTTGTCAGAGTATCTTATTACAACAGGAAGCAATACTAAGACAGAACAGAACAAAAGAAAAAAGTGGAAGCTCCAAATCTTTGAAGAGTATAGATCAAAATTTTTCAACAAGATACTTAAAAACTAAATACAGCAAAATATTAGAAAAATCATTCATCATAATCAAGTGGAATTTATCTTTAAAATAAGCAGATGGTTCTAAATATAGAAATCAATAAACATTATACAGCACATCAAGAATAACAAA